GCGGATCATGAGGTCAGGAGATAAAGAGCATCCTGGCTGACACTGAAACCCTGTCTCTAATAAAAATACAAAAAATTAGCTAGGTGTGGTGGCACGCGCCTGTAGTTCCAGCTACCCGGGAGGCTGAGGCAGGAGAATCACTTGAACCTGGGAAGCAGGTTGCAGTGAGCCAAGACCGTGCCATTGCACTCCAGACTGGGCAACACAGTAAGACTTGTCTTAAAAAAAAAAAGTGGAATGGGCCTGCCTAGTCCTGCTGCCAATGGCTGAAACATTTTCATTTTTATATCTTGCTGATATGTTCGTCAAGCCTTTCCAAAGGAGAAATAGGAAACAAGTAGAATTCAAATTACAAAAGATCTACCGTCCATGCCCAGTAGATACAAGCGAGCTCCAGTGTTACTGCTAAAGCTCAGTAAGAATGGGATCTGTTGGATTCACCTGGCTTCTGATTGTTATTCCTGAATGAACATTAGATGCAAGGTCAGCCTGAAGCTACGTGGATGTAGCAGGCAGCACAGAGTTAGGGGCTCACATATACCCCCAGGTGCTCAGTCACTGGGCCTCAAGTGACCCTGAAGCAGAAGGAACAGCCATGTTCCAGAATCATTCTCCAAAACCCAACCGGACACTCATGCTCGGTGCTGGTGCTGACCCAACGCCAAGCTATGGGGCCTCGCAGAAGCAACTAACCTCAGAAATTCAGGGAGCACAACAGCTGCTCTGGTCAGCTCATTGGATTCTTGTGAAAACTGTCATTGGGCCGGGTGTGGTGGCTTAGGCCTGTAATCCCAGCACTTTGGGAGGCCAAAGTGGGTGAATCGCTTGAGGTCAGGAGTTAGAGACTAGCCTGACCAACATGGTGAAACCCCACCTGTACTAAAACTACAAAAATTACCCAGGCCTGGTGGTGTGTGCCTGTAATCCCAGCTACTTGGGAGGCTAAGCCAGGAGAATCACTTGAACCCGGGAGGCAAAGGTTGCAGTGAGCTGAGATGGTGCCACTGCACTCAAGCCAGGGCAACAGAGCGAGACTCTGTCTCAAAAGAAAACTGTCAGTGGCGTGTAAATGGGAAGTGGCAGTGCTGCTGCCATCTGGTGAAGAAATCCTGATCCTATGGTGGCAAGGGATGGCAGGAAGGAGGCCAGGCTGGTGCAGGCCACTGCCATCGTGGCACCCTCACACGCTCTCAACAACAGAAACTGGCCGGGCATGGTGGCTTACGCCTGTAATCCCAGCACTTTGGGAGGTCAAGACCACAAAATCAGGAGTTTGAGACCAGCCTGGCCAACATGGTGAAACCCCGTTATACTAAAAATACAAAAATTAGCCAGGCACAGTGGCACGCACCTGTAATCGCAGCTACTCTGGAGGCTGAGGCAGGAGAATTGCTTGAACCCGTGAGGTGGATGGTTGCAGTGAGCTGAGATCGTACCACTGCACTCCATCCTGGGTGACAGCAAGACTCCGTCTCAAAAAAAAACAGAAACTCTGGGGAAAGTGGGAAATTCAGTTGGTGGGGACCTCAGGAAGTACCCCACCCACAGTGTCTCTCAGTCGTTTCTGTCGCTGCATTTCAGGGACAGGAGAGCTCACCCGAAGTGTCTATCACGATGCCGCCTGCTTCCCTGATGATGACTGTGGCAGCCGCCAGGTCCCAGCAGTGCAGACCGAACTGGTAATAGGCATCCGCGGCTCCCGAGGCCAGGTGGCAGAGTGCCAATGTGGAGCTTCCAATCACTCGGACCCTGGAGAGAGGGAGGGGAAGACAGATGCAGGCGGGAGTGGAGCCTTTTCTGTGGTATGCAAGCTGACTTCAGCCAGGTACCCTGGCTGGGCATGTTCCCCAGTGAAAAATGAAGCACAGCACTTCCGCCAAAGCTCTGGAGGCCGAATGTAGGGCCCGGAGCCACCG